CATGCCTGTTTCGGCCATTCAGAAAAAAACGTCGTCTCGGTAAAACTATCAAATTCAGTCGATCTTTTAAGCCTCTATTAACGATAAAAATAATTCAGATCTTTCTTAATATAGCACTTATGAACTCGAACTTTTCACAAATTACAGTTCAGTTAATCTCTTCTAACAAACTGCAGCCGGTCGAGGTTAGAAAGCGAAAGTCACAAATGATTACGGGTCCTTTGCCGCCATTTTGGAACGCGATTGTTTTCGATTTCATAGATCACTTTTCAGTTCTTCTTAAAGTTCAGTGGATATGTCCTTCGCTAAAAAATGGTAAAAATTTGTTCATTTATCAGTTCAACTGTTTTTTTCTAGATGATTATGCATAAGTTACATACGATACATGTATTTTGATTCTTGCTAACAAAAAACGCATTCCTAGCTAAATTTGATCCGAAATTTTATTGGAAAGAGGATTAAGTCGAACATTTAAGACGACATTTCATTCGAACAGGACAGCCAAATGCTTGCTTTATCCGGTGAATTTTAGAGCCAAGCATAAAACATACGGTTAGAAATTATTTCTAATTGTGACAATTTTAGTTTTGGACAGTTAGAATAGCAAATGGGTTTTAAAAGCTAGTTAATCACTTCTCTTTATTGTGGTTTCGCTAGGAGTTGATTACTTCAAGGCCTTAGAGCCTCGCCAAATGTATTTTCCAGACGAATATTTCACTTTTCGAACCGGAACGTAACTATTAAATGTGGTAGTAAATCTCGTAGTCTCCGTCGTTTCACATGTTGAATTGAATGGATCTTATTTTGTACGAAGCTTGTGTCAGACTGAGGCTGAAGAATTTTGAGTTTCAAAGTTTCCAGCTTTGTCAGTTAGGGGGCGGCTCTTGAAACAGGTGAACTTCAGTGAAATGATCCTGGGGAGATGTGAAAAAAAAAATTACATAAACAACTAAGTAAGAATAATAAAGGATGTTCCATATTCTGTATCGGACCATTTAACACGCTATAATTGAAAAAACGGCGCTTTTACTTCTGTGTTTTAATTAAGCTCTTGGCGACAGACATCTGCACTCCTTTGTATAAGTTGTAAATTACGACAAAAAGAACATCTTCGTCTACTTGATGCAAATAATAGTCGAACGAATTTAAATGTTGGCAAACAGTGTTTGGTGACATAGCTTGCTGGAATCATCTTATAGTATGAGTCATGAGTTGTAAATACAGATGACAAACAATATTAATGTTGCGCTTAATTTACAACGAATATGTCTTGATTTGTAACTTTGTGGAGCTAAATTTTTTTATTTATCCCAGAAGACCTCGCATCCGTTCAAGACTTTGAAGCAAAAGAAGTCAAAATTGTTTCCTTCTTCCTGAAAAGATTGGCAATCGAGACTTTTTGTTCATCCCTCTTCCTACAATAAAATACCTACTTGTAGGTTTTGAAAGCACTTGCACATAGTCTTCCGGCTTAAACCCAAAGCACAGCGCTTTTAATATCAAGGCACTTTGAACAGATGGTAAATGAAAGGCCATTAAAATCAGCTAACTGCAAACGTTTCATGGCGAGGAAACGAGATTGTACCAATTTTACTAGAATCTCTCCCAACAACGCAAATAACAAGTAACTCCGACGTATCCTCAGGGCTTGTTTTTGTAATAAAATCGGGTTTTTCCAAGGCTAAGTAGCTGATTCTAAAAGTCCATTAGAACAGGCTGCGTAATCGTTTGTAAAAATTAGCCACTTGAAAATCGTAGCATTTAAAGTGCAAATTATACGCTTTTTTTGGAATAAAACGAGATTTGTCATGCCAAACTTAGTTTTTTATTTTATTTAAAACTGAGAATGTTTTCATTAGAAGGATCCCTTTTGGAAAGAAATTTGCGTTTCCTTAGAAGAGTACAACAGACGTTATTATATACCTCTTTGGAAAGATTTAGAGCACTTACGTCACCTTGAAATCTCCTTTTTAATCAATTAGTTTAGATATATGTCGCATTTTAGACGGAGCTTGGTTCGTAACAGGCCAAAAAAATTTTCCATTGAAACCATTAATATCTGTGCGCAAATGCAATCATCTCAAAACCGCGTCAGATATTTGAACATTTTCTCTTAAATATAGTTTAAGTAACGAACCTGCTAGTTTCTTTGTACTTTAAGATTGAAAATAAACAAAGCTTTTTTGGTACGATTTGTTTAACCAATTGTCTGGAATAGTGTACGGCTGGAATATTTCTCACAGATGGTTGACCAAGGCCATTTTAATGAGGACGAAAAAGAAGTAACGAGGTGTCAACTATATTTTCTTTAAGAGTGACATAGTAGACATATTAAGGTAAAAAAGAATGTAATTAAAGAGGGTGAAACCGTTGAATCATTCGTTTTTTGATTAATATTAGAATTTAGTGCGTTGATAGAGGGTCTATCAAATTAAAAATCCGTTCCAACGCTAAGACTTCCTTCTTTGGGTAGATGTGTACACGCGTTCAATTTTCACAACAGAGTTATAGGTTTTATTTGTGTTAAAACCTCTGACACTATTGATCATTACTTCATAAAGAGTTTTTTTTCCGCATTTCCTGTTTTTTCAATATCAATTGTTTACATATTCATGCTGGGATCATAGTAAAGTTTAAGAACAAAATATCGATCCGAGCCGTTATTAATAATCTCTTCGTCGCGTACAGATCAATTTGTCGAAGGCTGCATTTTTGCCTTTGCAGGGATAAAAAAATTCCCTTCTACAAAAAAAATAATCTCAGTCACCAAGGAACTCTTTGAAAGTTCTGTCAATCGGCGAGATGTAAGTTGGAAAGTTTGAATTTCTTCATTCATTTTTCCTATGGTGTCTTTCTAGCGTTTTTCTATGGGATATTGGGATTGAAAGTTATCATCATCTACCGACAACGTCAAACCTCTTCTGAAGCTTATTATTCTTATACCGAACTTTATTTCGGGCTTTTTAAGGTTGCTTTGAAGCATACTTTTCTCTTCCGTTGGTAGGATTTAACATAGTTACTTAATTTACGGGTGTGCCTGCTTACTGAATGTCTAAGATTAATCCACTTTTAGTCTCGAAAGAGAAGATTGTAAAGGAATCAACAAAACCACTGACATATTTGTTTCTCATAGGTAAGCAAATCGTGCAATATTGATTTAAAATCATTAATTGCCCATGGAAGATTTCATAAATGCAGTTTTTTTTTCTAAGGATATAGTTGTTTCATGCTTAAAATGTAGCCGGCCTGCTTCTGATCCAAGAACGCCATAAACCAAAGGGCGATGTCGCGCATTTCAAAATTCCTGTTTTCATACTTGAGTTTCTTTTTCAGTCTTAACCTTGTATTGCAATATCCCTTGGTGCTTACAATGCGACATGTCGGCGAAAGTATTTCTTTCGACGGCTGAAACATTATTATGTCAGTGCCGTTAAATTTCACTGGTGTTAGGGGTAGAAGGCGCCTCGTATCTTTGAGGTTTTCAAATGAACAAACCAAGGGGAAAACCTTTATTCGTGAAATGTATAAAATGTTCTCGAACTATTGGTTCAAAGTCCGTGGGATAGTATCTTTGAATAAACACTTGTATGCCGCGATAAACAACATTACTTTCAAGTGCAAAGGGATCATAGCGTCAAATGGTATATCTCAAGCAGTTTCGCTCGATTATAGATTTCGAGTAGCCAAAGAAGGTCTTTAAAACATTGTTGAACAGTTTAGAGATGAATAATCATTTTAGAAAAATCACTTTTTTCTCAGGAATCCGCGTGGATGTCTCACTTATTAATTCGATCGCATTGTCTAACTCTGGCCTATTTACCATAGAGGAAATCAAGACAGTTACATCGGTAGAGAATTCTAAGTTGGGAAATAAAAACCTCTTAGTCTGAGTTTCATGACAAACGTACATTTTACTTTATGTTCAATGGGCTAAGATCACTTAAATAAACTGAGATTCAGTCGGCCAGCCTAGTCGACGTATGATGTTATATTGGATAGTGAAAAACAAACCTCGGCTTTCAAAAACCTAACCACGTCCAGTCATCTAAAACTGATTAATGCCATAATGCCCGTTTCACTGGTCTTAATTCGCTTAGTTTGCGTCTCTTGCCTTCTCTCTCTTTTCTAGTTTCTTTAAATCATTTTTAACGGTTATAAGCTTTCGCGTGGCTAGTAATTCCCGTGAGAATCTGTCATAAGTTTATCGAAAAAACGAATCGATCTTGCAAGGACTTGACGAGGCTCTACTGAATGTCGCAGCTCTATATCAATGAGTCGAAGGGAATCCTTAAAAATATTGTTGCCTAAGGAATCAAAAGAGAGGCGTCTTTTTCCCTACTCGTTAAGTTAAAGTTTTAATATGGTTAAGTTAACCTTCGACATCTAAATACTAATGTGCACTGAAATAAAATGTAAGATCTTGCTAGATGATTGAGAAGAAACCGAAAACGCCCTCTTAGGAAATCAATTCAAGCATCTTTTTTTAGGAAATGCCGAATTATGCCTGCGGCGGATTTTGAGCGAACCAGTCACTAAGGAACCGTGACGTAACTGTCTATAGGTACTCCCGCTCGCGTAATATCCGTTTAGTTGATAACATGTCGGAAATCCAGCAGGTTTTTACGAAGCTGGTGTTACCAAATTCGGAATACCTCTGTTGTTCATATCAGATGACGAACCATCTCGGAATGGCATCAATATCCTTGTGGTAGATTCAAGAGTCAACGCAGATGTCAAAGAGTCTGTGTTGGCCCATCAGGGGTTTTAATTGTAATAGAAAATTCAAGACATTTGCGTGTGCTTTCCAAAAGTAACGCCTCTGCCAAGTGCGGCATATCATGTACAGATTAATATCGTTACTTCCTATGAACAACACCGAAAGGAGCTTTCCTTTTTGTGAGTGTGTGAGACTACCATTTGCTGTAATTAACTCATTGACTCAATGAACTGAAGTTCTTCCTCAGCTAGTACAACTTTAACTTCTTTCCCTCCCTTTTCAGGATGAGCGAAATCCTTCCCCAAGTACCCTCCCCGGGTAGTGCTTTGTATCACCGTATTCCAAAATGTGCTCGCTGCCGGAATCATGGCGCCCTGTCGTGGCTTAAAGGACACAAACATTACTGCAGGTGGCGGGACTGTACATGCTCCAAATGTCTCCTCATCGCTGAGCGCCAACGTATAACTGCTGCTAGAGTGGCTCTTCTACGGCAACAGAGAAAGAACTCGGAGATGTCTCAAAAACTGGGACAGAAAGATAGCGACAAAGATCAAGTGGCAAAGAGTTTTGGCGACGATGTTTATCAAAGACCATCAATGGTTCTTAACTCGATACCCGCACTTCATGGAAGAAAGAGCAGTGACACAGATTATGAAGGTAAGGTGACGCTCTAGAGTAGGGGTCAGCGGTTATTCGTATGTAACAAGTACATTCGATATACTTTGCAGAGTTTGGAAAGATCTTTGGGTGAACAAAGAACATTTTTTTTTTCATATCCTTAATGATGCAATTTTGTTCGCAACGAGCCAAACAAAAAATGCCTTTCGTAAACCGGTGTCTAGAAAGAAATGTTTAAATTTTTTTTTTTGTGTTTAGTTGATACTAATGACTAAAACGCTCTCCTATTTTTTGATATTTCACAGACGAGGGCATCGATCAACAGCTTTCCCCAACAGAATCAGAAGAAAACTTGGATATCCAACCTGACGAACCTTCCGAACCTGAATCAACACTTATCGACGGAGTCCGAATAAAAACCGAACCAGAGACAACGACTCCGGAGGATGAAGAAGAAGGCGGCCTAAGAGTAACACCTTGCGAAAACGGCACTGAACTTCCATCACCAAAGAGAAAAATTAATGGAGAGGTGCAACACGATGAAATCGATGCTTTACGACTCCACTCCAAGATACCTCGAACATCTGAAAGCCCCAACGTGGGAAGAAAAATTCATCCTGATCCACTCGGCTTGCTGATCCGAGCCTTTCCAAGCCAGTGCCGAAGCGTCCTTGAGTTGGTCCTTCAAGGCTGCGGTGGAAACGTTGTTCAAGCCATTGAGTGCTTGCTTCAGAATCAGGAAAAGAAACAGCTTCCATTGCCCATGCCTGTGCCTGTGATTGGAAGCGTTGGGGGTCCTCCTGCAACAATTCATCCCGCCCTTCACTTTCAAGCCCCCCCACTATTCCGTAAGCCGGAACCTTTCTCGCATACTTTCCACAGACCTCCAATGAGTCCTAGCTGTCCATTCCCACCGCCACCACCCTTACTGAAGCCAAAGGCACAGGCCAGCGGTTACCCATTCTCGATGGATGCCGTCCTGGGTTCGCCACCGAACAACATGAACGTTAGTTCGAGCTCTCCAAAGACAGAAGGGAAATCAGTGGCTGTACACTTTTGCACAAAGTGCGGACGAAAGGCGAGTTGTGAAGACAATTTTTGTGCCTTCTGTGGGCAAAAGCTTCACAAATAGCATAGTTGCAAACCAATTTCATAGCCTAGATGCGTCAACATCTTTTACGGTGCAAGTTAAGAATTAGTGATTGATAATATTAAAAAAGCTTAAAGCTTCAAAATTGAGTGTTCAAATACCCAGCGCATGTTTGTTGGAAAGTTCTTCGACGAGACTCAAAAGAACCTAGGAGACTTTTAGCTTTCAGAGATGTAAAAAATGTAAAAAATTGTGTCAGTGGAAATGAGATAATGCCACTGGAGCTTTTTAGGGTTTAACCACAGGGAAGATTTTTATAATATAACTGCGCAATATTTAACGAAGAGGACAGAAGTTTTTCCGGCAATCACAATTAAATGAAAAGAAAACTTCCTCTGATGATAAAGCTATTTACAATACAAGTAGTCATTTTACCAGTAAAATATTTGGTAGTTTTCTTTTTTTATGTGTTCATCGTTCAAGACGATGTAAAGTTGCATGTGTAAATAAGGATTATATTATGATTGAGGTAACAAAAAAATGGTTTATCTATACGAAAAAGAGTCTCGATACTTTATTGAAGGCCTTGTACACAATAAAACGATGAAAAATAGTGATGATATTCTAAGCTGAATTCAAACTGACGTGGGTTAGCACGAAATACAACCCAAGAAAGCTAAGAAACTTATCCGGCAACAGTTTGCTTGTTTGATTGTTTGCTGCTCGGAAATAATTTTCTTTGGTATCAAAAATTATCTTTCATCGTTAGTATTACTTTAGTGACTATCATTATCATCAGAAACGTTATAATTACTTTGTTTTCAAAAGCTTATATTTCTAATCCCGTTTCATCAAGGACCATGAGATTACTATGAGTTTTTTCTTTTCTTAACGCTCGGTCGCTTGATCTGAAAGTTGCAAAAACTTAACATGATTTTTGTTTTCAACATTTCACGTTGTGATACTTTTCTATCCTTGTCTGACTTTTCATGATGTGTTTTCATCTAAGATGTTACTTTGCTAAAAACAGTGTGTATTTATTGACAAAAAAAAAGAAATCTCAAAAGTAAAGGCCTAAGAGTTCAAATATCGAGACTTGACATTTTGTCAGCCTAAATATAAGGGTTTTATTCTATCAGCTATATCATTCAGAAGATATGTGGAATTCGCGTCCCATTATAAAATAAGCAGCTCAGAAAAAGTGAATTAAGAGTTTATTTACTTTTATATCTACTATCACAACTCTGAATCAATAGTCTCTTTAAAGGGGTCAAAAACATTGTCAATAATTTCACGGGCGTGTGTTGGGTAATAAATAGTATATAGCCAAGGAAAAGATTGAGTAGAGTAAGGTTTTTAATGGCAAATATCTTATACGATAAATAAAAGTAGAGAATCATACTAAGAGACGCATATGTTCTCTGTGAATTTTTGTCAAAATGCATGAGAAATTTTTCCTTTTTTTTTTAAACAAGTAGCATTTCTCCTCACTTTAAGTTAGTCAGTGTATTAATATACAAGTACCTGTACGTGATTGAAAATATATCATACAAGATACATATAATAGCCACTCCTTCAAATCCAAATTAATTGCATTAGGAAAATTTGTGAATTACATTTTTACAAGATGGTGAAATAAAGAATACTAAATGCAAGTTTGAAATGGCACTGCAGCGATGTCATTTGTATATCCATTATTTTATTTTCCTAAAGGAACAGTCATTCTTTAACGCGCGAGGGAGGGAGGGGGAGGGGAGGGGAGGGGGAGGGAACGGGGAGGGGGAGGTGAATTTTGAGGGTATCATATGGCTCTCAGGGGGAACGAAGGGGGAATCACTTGTCGCCAAAAGGCAACAGATATACAGGGGGGATTATAGAAAATTCACTGCCAATTAGTTGATATTGAAGGGGGGATCAAAATCAGTATCTGGGCAACTTCCCACCTACCCCTTCCCTAACCCAACATTAACTTTAACTTGTTGTCAATTGACTGTTGTTGAGTTAGGAGAAGGGTAGGTGGGCAGTTGCCCAGATACTGATATTAATCCGAAGGGGGGGGGGTCTAAGAATATTACACAGCCCCGGAGGGGAAAAAGTAATTTTTATCGTAACACAAATAAAATCTTCCTACCTTCTCCCCCCCTCCTCTCCCTCTCCCTCTCTAACGTTAATCATATGATGACCGTTACCTAACTGTCTAACAATTGTTTTTTATTGACAGGGTAATTCCCCAATCCCCTCGAAATGGAATTGAGACGGTAAATGACTGGCGCTCGCTCGCTTGGTTAACTCAGAAGAAAAATCGTAAACCGTAAATACCTCACACAGTTGTCATACTTTGTTAAAAATCAACTTAGGTGGTTAAAGCAGGCAGATATACAACCCATTTAGAATTTTAATAGGATTTGTAAAAGTATACTTTTCGCGAAGCTCTTTCGAGAACCCGCTTCATTTAGCATTACCCTTTTCACACTGTTGGATCACAGAATTAACAAAGATCATCGATTCAGCCTTTCTGATAACAACCGCTCTTGTACTGCATGATGGTTATTATCAAAAGCTGGCAAATCAGAGTCCCGGATGTTTCCATAATGCCTAGCAAACGAGGGGAGGAGGGGGGAGAATGAACGAAGAATATTTGTTACGGTCTTAGACTTTTTCGAGGAGTAGCATTACTGCATGACTTCACACTGCAATCAAATGAATCACAGCGTTAATCTTTGTAAGTTGGGTAGAAATTGGTCAAAGGAAAAAATGTTTTTACAAAATCCGAGTTTTAAAGTTCACGAACTTGAAAAAAAGTAAATGATTTTTATTATAACAGGTGTAGCGGTCACGCACTATTTTTGGAGGAGTTTCAGTAAATAAATCCATCAACAGAATTCTCTTGGTATAGGTATGCAATATCGACACAGGAGTATCTTAAAGTCCTACGCATAGTCTTGATTTTTGGTAACCTATGGTTCCTGTGTACATACAATCCGACTAATCTTTGAAACGAGTCCTTTCACGAGCTTACATGGACTTGCATGGAGTCGTAAGTTTATGTTCCACTGTGCTCAGTGACGTGCTTAGGAAGTGACCGGCGGAGGCAACACATTACTGATTGCATATCAAAGTATATATAGAGTCCAGGGAAGTTTTAGCACCCTGTCGAATTTTCGCTTATTGAAGATCATCTAAATACCATATCCGCTGGTTAAATTAAACATACCCGCGAAGCATTAACAAGCCCTTAACGCTTCTTAAACATTCATTGCTTTTTCCCCATAGAAGTCTTTAATATTAATCACCACACATATTTTCAATATCTGAGATACTCCATCCTAAGTATTTTTGTCAATTTTATTTTTAGTCTGATAATGAACTATGGTCATGTTCTCCCAAAAGAAACAAGGAATTATCAAATCTATCGAGCGATATTTTATTATTCATTTAATAGAGTTTCGTCAAGATTCTTTCGTTGAAGAATTCCCAAAAGATACTTGAACACGAAAACAAAAACATAGAAAAAATATGTTTACCCTGAAAGCCTATCGGCATGGATATCATCATATCGAGCCTCAGTCAGATGGCGTCTGTAAATTGGCCATAATATCTCTTTGTCCCCTCCTTTATGTGACACTTCGCACGCGTGCGCTGATCATCTGCAGTTTTAACCGCACCGAAAAAGAAGCTATATTTTTATGTTTTTTCGTCATTCGACGTGTTTTACTGTAACTTCTAGAGCGTGAACCGTGTATCACATTTACCGTGAAGCGTAAAATGAAACCGTAAATGATGATTTTGAGCGCGATCAACAGCGTGAAGCGTGAGAATTATAACAAATGGATCGACTAGCGTGAAAAATTTTGGACACTTGGCATGTGATGCGTTTGAAAAAATGTGAAAGAGCCAATCAGAGGTCTTATGGAGCACCACACTTTTGATGATGCATAACGGTGATAACTGACGAGAAAAAGCAATTTGAAACAGTTTCTTCATGCATAATATATATACACACCGATCTGGTCACACGCGCTTGTGATTCTTCTGATAAACTGTACTAAGCTACATGCCTCCTGATGAAAACAGATCTGAGGTCGAAAGAAATACCCTGAAACGAAACTTAAAACCATCTAACGTAACGTTTGATTGTCTGATGTTTACAGACTTGACTTGATGTCATTTCACTGAACTAGCATCGAAGTGGAGTCGATTAAGAATATTTGGAGTAGTCCTACCCGAGCAAAGCGTTAAACAGCCTGGCGTCGAATTGTATTTGCTTGGGAAGAAAACGATTGCGTTTCACTGTGATGGTTTCGCGCTACAGCAAGAAAGGAGAGGGACAAATAGCATGGTGCCTCTGTACCCTACCCATCGTTATATTTCCATTTATTGTTATATTTTGGTTGCATCGTAGTTTCTCAGCCGAAGATTTTCTTCAGCAATCCAGATTTCAAAGCATCACACAGGCACCAACTATAAGAAAAGATTTGAGACTTGCCAAAGAGCAAAATGAGTTTTTCGAAACGTTACTAAATATGACAAGGTCTCCGACTCAGCGATCTACGGTACCTCCTGTCGTTCTCGCGATTCACTCGGGAAAGCGAGTTACGCCGGCCGACGCCGACCCGATCGAGTTGCAACATGAAGAAGAGTCTTCAGATAACGATGGAAAAGTCGTGATTGTAACACCTGGCCCTGACACAGTATTAGCAAGGAAAATAGTCTTCACCCCTAGAGAGGAAGAAATCACAGGTCATGAACTTCTGGCGGCATTTTTTGAGCAAGTTGTTCCAGATAACATGGCAGGGAAACTAAATGTTCATACATGGCAAGGTATTTGCGGCCCGTACGTTGAACAGCTTCGCCATTCTCCGTTATTTCCTCGCTTTCCTTTCGTTAGAAAATTTCTGGATCAATTTAAATCGCATCAGGAGGGCAGCGATTTTGGAGAGAGGATCTTCGGGTTCATTCACCCGGAAAAGCAAGGCTTTCACGAGTTCGCGATCACTTCCGACGATACATCAGAACTGTGGCTTAGCACCGACAGCAATCCGAAAAAGTCCCGACTTATCGCCGCAGTCTATTCGGCAAATGGCGCAGCGTGGACAACACCGTATAATTATAAAAAGTTTCCTATCCAAGTTTCGAGGAAGATTGCTCTGAAGTCTTCCAGAAAATATTACATTGAAGCGCTCCATAAACAATCAAAGGGTCGTAGCCATGTTCAGATATTCTGGAAAGAACCAGATGCAAAAACGTTTAAAATTATTCAAGGCAAGTACTTATCTCTGTATGTGGACGATCGAGATATGCACGAAGAAGGGATTGTCGAAGAAATTGATTTTCACAGCTATGCGCCACCGGGAATTCCTAGCCATTCCAAAAGAAAATTAGATCCCAGCGTTGAGAAATTCCTGTATAGATGCTAAAATCATCCTTGGAATAGAATAATGCATGGTTTGCAACGTAAATGAACGTAACCCTCATCCATCAGAACATTCGAGGCACAGTAGCGCCTTGATATAAGAATTTAGATGATCTGCTAGACCATAAGTAAATTTAGAGAGGTTAGTTGTTTGATCTGCAAGGGGGCAACTGTACAAATAACGGTATCATTGATAATTCTGTTTTTTTGTTTTTTTTTTTTACATGGAGCGGATATATAGCACCCATTTTCAATGGGTCTGTGTAATAATAGGCAAAAGATATCGTTAAAATAGAGTGAGAATATTGATGACATACTTACCTCTGGCTCTAGTGTCACATTTTTTGGGTTGGCTTTACCATGTTTCCACGTACTACTTCATCTTTCACTAAAACGGTGCACAGCAACATGAATAAAGTTTGATAATACTTCTGATAAAATGATGCGAGCTTACTCCTCCTGGAAGTGTCAAGTGGCTCTTAAATAAAGTGAGTAAATGAGATAAATCAGGATTTTCTTTTATTTGCCATGACAACTTTGAAATATCAATAAAAATGAAAATCTCATCTATCGGCAGTCCTACGCCTGTGGACCATGTATCGCGCTCTCCGATAAGCTTAAAATCAGAGCAAGAGCAAAGCACGGCATTACGCTCCTTTAATAGTGACAATGCCTACAGAATGAATTAGAAGAACACAAAAGGTTACTAAATGATTGTAACTACCTGTTTTTTACTGAAAGCTCGAGGGGGTGAAAACGATGAAGGCCAACCGATATCCAGAGAGAGTAAATTCTGTCATATGCTGCTAAAATTTCATGAGAAGAGCAAATGTGCAGTGCTAAACTTCCTACGAACTTGTGCTCGAAGAGACGACGGAAACAATCATATCAAAAATACGTTCAAGCGTTCAAGCTGTAAGACTGCGTGAGAGGATGAATCCTCTCTTGTTCAAGCTCATATCTGAAAAAAAAAAAAAAAGCTATTAAAAACTCGTCGAGGAGAATGTCAATGACATGATAATAACGTAATTTTTCGTCGATGAATACAATAGGGTAGGATGTATAGACTTACCAGCCGGCAACTTAGCTTGACCATGGATAAAGATTTTCAATGATGTCCCCTTGCAAACTTGAACACAACGCGCCTACAAGTTTCCAAAGGAGATGTTCAGACGGCAAATCCTCATTTAATAATAATTAATTCAACATTCATAAGATTATGATGAAATT